CACCGAATTTGTTTACTCGAGTTTCGCATATGAATATTGAAATGGTTTACGACAAAAGTTGCCTATGCAGGTCCACGTCGTCGTATAGACCCTAATATAACGACTACATTCGGTATTTTTAAGATTTTAACAGAATTTTTAACGGATTTCATTTTTTTGAAAATTGCCAAAATCGTTGCAAATGGTGGAGTTTATTCAAAGATCGGCCAACCAAAATTACAGCTTTTTTACTTGTTTTTATATATTATGACAATTGTTTCTCATTTATTTATCAGCGCTTCAAAAATACAAATTTAATTTAGTAGAATATCGTATACCATGCGCGAAGCCAGTCCAAAGGAAGCTAAGTTCAGAGAAACTAAATTTAATTCAACTTCGAGTGACTTCCTTCGTTTCATTTCCAGTTCGCTATGGAAAAATTGCCATTGGACTTTCTTTACTCTAGTTCCTATAATGATTTTGAACATCGTCTCTCTTCACCTGTTTTTAATTACTTCCACAGCACCAGGTTATCCAAGTGAAGAAATTTTGTATTTTTTCTGGCCATGTTCCTCGATTGAAGTTTTTTTTTTTAATTTTTCAGAAATTTTTCAAAACAGTCGATTGATATCTGCCTTAAAAGTTTTTAAACACCATCTTCACTCATTGACATTTTATTTAAAATTTCATATTTTTGGTGTTTTTTTATCAACAGATCCAAATTGCAAATTCCATTTTGATTTTCTTTTCAACAAGCAATCTGCCTTCGTTGGAATCAGTCCAAAATATTTTACTTTAACCTGAAGGTGGTGGAGGGTGAATATCTAAACAGCCAAAACAATCATGTTTACACTTTATTATGTGTTGTGAGATATGTTCCAGTAATGAGAGGCAACGACATGGCTCAAAGGGCTATTCATCTCTTTCCCCTGGCAGTAGTAACTTGAGCAAATGTAAACGTTAATTAATAATATGCCCGAGGAGGATGATGATGTAGTTGGCAATACAAATTTCAAGGGAAACCCTACACAGGAAATTTTTTCAACAGCAAAGTAAATGTTTTAATAACTAAATTTCAACTTTAAAGATCTTTAAAATTGATTAATGCAGGGTGAGATGAAAAAACTGCAACCAATTTCAGACTGCTGTCATATCTAAGCCTCTCCGACAACTGTTAAAATTATTCCAGCCACAGCTCATTATACTGTATACAAGCGTACAAAAGCATTTTGGTGAGAATTTTCCAGAAAAAAATAGAATGGAATTCAAGCGCGATAGTGTGATTTCTTTATATTTGGCTGGAAAACCACAAGTGGCTATCGTTAGATGTGAATAAATGTGAATAAATCTTTTGTGTCTCGTACCATCACTCGTTACCGCGATACTGGTAGCGTAGTCCGACGTCATGGAAGTGGACGGAATAAAACAGCAACACCAGCAGAAATGGTTCGAAAAATAAAGAATCGACGTGATCAGCAGTGGCCGAATATGGCTAGTGAGCTGAACATATCGCAATATTCCATTCGGCAAATATTGAAATATGAGCCTTACGCCGCAACAGAAAGAAAATAGACTCAAAAGAGCTAAAGAGTTCCTCCGCTTGGCCGAAAGTGGTGAACGGTCGAATTTGGTATTCTCCAATGAGAGCACATTCATTCTTCAGCAGTTTGTAAACAAACAAAATTATCGTGTTTACTTGTCAAAGAGGTCAGCTCAAAATGTGTCCCTTCGGTTGGCCACCGGCCACCAGAACTCAAGCGCCGGCCATGGCGAGGGTATGGGCCGCCATAACAGACGATGGTCCCTCTCGGCTCGTATTAATCGACCGTGGCATCAGAATAAATGCCGAATATTATCGCGAAAATATTCTGCAGGGTGTATTAAAGCCTTGGGTACGCAAACATTTTGGCAGAAGACCTTGGACATTTCAACAGGACTCAGCACCATCGCACTCAGCACGCTTCATTTCCAGCGCACAATGGCCACCAAAATCTCCGGATACCAATCCGTTGGACTATTGTGTCTGGAGTATTTTGGTAAGCAAGGTTGCCACTAAAAAATACCAAAGTGTCGATCACCTCAGAAAGCGCTTCGCCATGAATGGACCAAAATACCGCAGAGCAACATTCGGGTAGCGTGTGACGGTTACATTGGCCGGTTGAATGCCATAATTCGTGCATCAATTCGAACAAATCTAAACTTACTCTAAAATTTATGCTATTTCCGACATTTTTTTCTTTCATTCATAAAACTTAAAAAAATGTAAAAATACGGTGTTTGACTTTGTTGCAGTTTTTTATCTCACCCTGTATATAGAATGTAAAAACCCCAACCAAATTCCCGGGAATTTGACTAAGTTGACATTTAACAGCCTTTGAGGTTTATGTCGGAATGGTCTTAAATTAACAGAAATAAAACGACTAATACTTATTTTCTTTAATTCTAGATTCTAGCGTTTTTTTCATACGATTAGTTATTAATGACACAATAATATCCGTTTAAAAATCCCGATTATGTGTGCAAATAAATGGTCCACATGTGTGGCCGTAGCGTTACCGAGGATGACACCACTGCTCATGAATTTCATTACTTACAACTAACTATGCACAGTAACATCAGGCCCTCCCACCAAACTATCACCCATTCATCATTCAAATATTTGTTTGAACCAAAAAAAAAAATCCAAACATTGTTTAAACATCGTTATATGTATGCGTGCGAGTTGGTTTGGTGGTACATGCATGAATGAATACTGATGATGAATGCCTGACGACAATCTGTGAATTTGTGACGAGTGCGAGAGGTACCTTTTTTTTGGCATAAATATGTGCATACATATACACAAATACAAGCAAACACACACAAGAAAAACATGGAAAACAGTTGCACTTTTCCCTTTTGCCTTCACTTGAACGTTGTCATTGCCCTCTTCTGACGAACAAGATGACTTGTTCTTCTTTGTTTTAAAGTGCCAAAGGTTACCACTTGTAGATTGTTCGCCCTTTAATATGCAGCCAGCCGATGTACATACGAGAAGATACCAACACCAATACAAACAAACAAAAACGCACACACAAACACACCCATGAGAAGACAAAATAAATGTATTTTTAAGTGATTTTTCGTGTGGCTAAGTGTAAGGAGGAGATTTTTCTGGTTACCACCATCCTCGTTTTCTATAGCTGCGTTTTGCATAGCCATGTCCTTTGGCTATGACGGAGAGAGGGTGTATGTGTGTGTGTGTGTTTATAGTTTTAATATGGTTTGGAGTCTCTTCGTGCGATTAAGTGCTGATACCCTGAATGTTACTTCACTTGGCAACACATGCCAGTGATGACGCAAAAGTGGCAAAAACTAGGGCGTCATGTTGAAAAGAACAAAACACCTTGTTGAATGTCCATTTCAGGGGCCAAATACCAATGTAGCCTGTTTCATGGAGTGTTGAATGCATGTGTATCTCTTAATTTTTGATTCGATTATTTTTAATAAAACTTTGCTTTAATTTCAGAAAGATGATTTTAATTCCAACGCTACAATACGACAATTTTTTCAGGCATACACATCACATTTCTCGATAATTGCCGATAATTCTATTGCACACTAATTAAACTTGGAATTAATTACATTACAACATTCACTGTAATTTGTTGATTAATTTTTGTGAAATGGATTTATTAATTTTTGCCGTTTTGCTAATTTTATTGCCGATTTTTTTTCTTCACTCACACTTCAATTTCTATGGAACACTTAAGCTCTGTATATCCTGTTAGCTCCTTTGTCTATTTGCCTCTTCCCTTCTTAACTGCGAGTGTGTGTGTACGTGTGAGATTGAGTGTTTATAGAAGACTTTTTCTGATGGACCGACAACGTTGTTATCCTTACACCGTTAGAATGTTTACTGTTAACTGTTTTGTTGGCCTGCGAATTTTTGTTGCTTGCAAAGTTTTCCCAGTTATGGTGGCGCGTTTTCATTCCTCCTTCGAATCGGCTCTACGAAGTATGTGTGTAGAGTAGAGTTCAGAGCACTTTTTGAAGTACGCAGGCGTTCTCCATTGGATGGTTAGCGCCAGTAGAGTAGAAGGGAGTAGAAATGGCAAAATTTAATTTGTTGTCTTTTTTTTCCGAGTTTTGTTTTTATCGCTTGCTACGAGCGAATATTTCAACGGTTTGTTTTGTTTTGCTCCGCAGTTTTGTTGGATTCTATCGTTTGTTTTTATCATGGGTATGTTTTGGTTTTCTATTTTATTTTGATTCTCCTTCTCTAACTTAATTGTTCTTGTAATCGGAATTTCCCGGCAAACTTGTTAGGGTTTTTTTTTCTATATTGCCTGGGGACAAAGCAGTAACAATGTAAATCTGAAAGAATAAAAGATAAACAAGTGGTGGAGAAATCAGACTTGTCCAAGGAAGTCAAAACATTTGGTAGGAGTGTTGTAGTAGAAAGAGTAGAAGGATTGTATCCCCTCAAAAGATTGACTAAACTTGAATGTCCAGGATTTTTAGACAAACAAAAATATACAGACTAATTAGGAAATATTAATGTTAAGCGAGTAGGGTTTGGAAGGAAAACCTGCGAAGTAGTCAGTAATCTAACAAATTGGGAATTAAAAAGCTTTGGGCAGAATTTAAAATTTCTCAAAAGAACAAGTAAAAAGCAGTAAGTTTGGCCGGGCTGAACTTTAAACACCCTCCACTATTTAGAACAATTTCGGAAATTAAAAAAGGTTGAAAAATACTATAAATTAGGGAGTTTCAGTCATATTGAGGTCTATACTAAGACGTGGACCTGCATAGTCAAGTTCTGTCCTAGGTCATTACAATATTCAAATACGAAAATTAAAAAAAAATCCAGTGAATAATGTCACAAAAACATCAAAATACCGAATATAGGGAGGTACCGTTATATGGGACGTGGACCTATGTACCCGCTATATTCTACATTGTACAAAAATTATCATATATCTGATACAATTCTACTATTATTGAATGTAATGAATAAATGTTCTCTGTTTTCATTTCAGCATCTCGCCGTCATTTTGAAATTGCCTTTCAAATGTTCGATTTGAATGGTGATGGCGATGTTGACTGTGAAGAATTCGAAATGGTAGCAACATTGGTGCGTCAACAAACTAGCATTGGTAGTCGTCATCGTGATCATGCCAATACAGGCAATACATTTAAGGTAAGTCATTTTCTTTTCTCCCGAGCCATAAAGCTGGAAGCCCGCTGCTAAAATATATATAAACAATATATATAAATGTAAACAATGTACTATATATAATGCAATATGCTAATTCAATTCAAAAAAAAAATATGTCTTTTTAAAAATCTCCTTGACGCAAGAGAACCATCCTAATTGTATATTTAATTGTTTACTGTCTTCTAATTTTCCTCTCTAAATTCTTTTGTAAAATAATCTTTATAAAAAAAACTCAATTTGCAAAAAAGTCTAAGGTACTTGATGACTAAAAAAATCTTGGTTTTCCAATAATTTTTCCCATTTAAATTCTTTTCATTCTATAATTCTTCAAAAAGCACTAATCCCGACCAGAACACAAGCATTTATTCTTTGTGCATGTCCTCTTTGATACTAATCCTTCTTCCTCATCCTATGTATAAATGATACCAGACATTTCAAATATAATGCATATACTACACCTCTGCATGGGGAATATATATATAATTTTGTATATAAACTATAACTCATAACAAATTAACTTTGGGATACCGAAACGTCGACACTATTGTAATTTATTCATTTTTTTACACTTGCCTATTATTTTAAAGTCTTCTACAGGGTGAGATAAAAAACTGCAACAAAGTTAAGTGCCATAATTTTGACATTTTTTTATTGAATGAAAGCAAAAATGTCGGAAATAGCATCAAATTTTAGAATATGTTTAGATTTGATCGAATTGGTCAACTTTGGCACGAATTGTGGCCTTCATACGGCCAATGAAACCAAACGCTGCAGAATGTTGCTCTGCGGTATTTTGGCCCCTTCCCGGCGAAACGCTTGCTTGAGGTGATCGATACTTTGACATTTTTTAGTGCCAACCTTGCTTTCCAAAATACTCCAGACACAATAATCCAACGGATTGGTATCCGGAGATTTTGGTGGCCATTTTGGGCTCGAAACGAAGCGAGGAACATAATTTTGTAACCATTCTAAATGTTTGCGTGCCTAAGGCTTTAATACACCCTTCAGAATATTTTTGCGATAATATTCGGTATTTATTCTGATGCCACGGTCGATTAATACGAGTGGGGGGTGACCATCGGCTGTTATGGCGGCCCACACCATCACCATGACCGGCGCTTGAGTGGACAACCGAATCATCACGAATAACTTTTTTCTGGAAAATGGTTTGGTACGATTGTACGTTGCAGTTTTTCCATCTCACCCCGTATATATAATTTTGTATAAAAACCATAACTCATAACGAATTACCTCTGGGATATCGAATTGTCAATACTATTGTAATTAATCCATTTTTTACACTTTGCCTATAATTTTAACGCTTTCCCAAAGAAGGAAACCAACCCCTCCGTTCTCTAAGTGTAGTAAAATTAGCGATTTTCATCGGGCTAGTACTTGTATTGAATTTTTATATTACCTATCGATTCTGACGAAGGACTGTATTCAGATAAGATTGGATTTGTATTCTTCATTAATATGAAAAACGAAATAAGTATTTTGTAAAGTATGAACAGATTTTTTAGTTTTTATTGACAAACCACTCGATTATCGTGGTTCAGAAATAAAATTTCATATTTGTTATTCTGCTTTTGGATGGCAAGTGATCATAGAAGAACATTTTTTAACATAATTTTTTGTTTTAAATTTTATTGCAATCAGACAACCACCTGAACTGAAAGTTCCCACAGAAAAAGACATTGGACATTTATAAATAAGCTCGGAAATTGATTAGATGCATGTCTGTTTTGTCGAACATTGCCAACTATAGGTTTTTTATGAAATAAAAAAAGTCCATTAGCTTGTTTTCGGTGTAGAACAGCCGTAGCTCATTACAAGTCGACTCTACTGACCATCAATTTTCTGCTTGCTTATTTTCTTTTTTTTCTTTTTTTGCACATTTTTCGTTTTAACGCTTTTTAATCATTCATTTGTAATTAAATGTGTATGCGTGTGTGTGATGCTTTTTAATGTTAAGTGTAAAGTGTTGAACAAAAAAATATTTAAAAATATTAACATTTCATTCCACCAAACAAATGCCTTCCCAAAGGGTGTTAACTCAGCCCTAACAACCTTCTTCTTTGGCCCGAATTTGGATAAAAAATTGACAATTCAAAAATTTTTGGATTTCCAACACCAATTGCAACGGGAAATTCTTTCACTGGAATTCGAGCGTAAACATCCTGATGATAATGGTCGCATAACGGAGGCAGATTTTGGAGAATTGCTATTGGCCTATGCCGGTTACCCCTTGAAGAAGAAACAAAAGAAATTGAAACGTGTCAAGAGACGTTTCCGTGACCACAGTATTGGCATCTCGAAAAAGGATTATTTGGATTTCTTCCATTTTCTCAACAATATCAACGATGTGGATACGGCCCTGACATTCTATCACATTGCTGGAGCTTCCATTGATCAGGCCACACTAAAACATGTAGCCAAAACAGTGGCTATGGTGGAATTGTCTGATCATGTCATTGATGTGGTCTTTACCATTTTTGATGACAACAGTGAGTATTGAAATGAAATTGAACGTATGACCTTATAACCTCCGTTGCTCTCTTTATCCCTTTCCCAGATGACAACCAGCTGAGTAATCGTGAATTTATTGCTGTGATGAAAAATCGTGTCCAACGTGGTTTGGAAAAACCCAAAGACACAGGATTCATCAAACTAATGCGTTCTATGTTGAAATGTGCCAAGGAGACCAAACCTGTTCTACTGGATCTCTAAAAAGTCTACTGAGGCGAGATTCCCCTTGCCATAATTGTTAACTATCTATTTATTCTTGATGTCTACTGCACAGGGACTTTAAAATCAATACTACTAAACAATCTTCTATCTATTCAAAACTAATCCCCTAATAGTCAATGCAATTTCTTTTTCTCCAAGGCAATATAATATAACGCTTAATATATTATTCGAATTGGTGGGCCTTCATTTTCCTAATCCTACTTTTAAGATATACCTCATAGATCAATTGTGTTTGTTTTTTTTTTTTCATACTGTTCTTTAAATGTTTATAGATGAACAATTTTATGAATAATAAAATAATATTATTTATATATTTGCGGTCATAAAATGTGTACGTATGTTCTGAAGGGGATAGGGAAGATTTTATTTGGGACTAAATGTATATATAAGAGGTATTGGGTTTTAATTGTGTTTTTGCGTTATAATGTGAAATCCCATATTCATTTTTAATATCCAGCTTGATATTGGTATAAAAATGTATACGTAGGTATTTTGTAATGATCAAGTTTCTCCTGACTTGACTTTGCTTTTGTGCGTCATGTTCAATAATTGTATAACAACCATTAAACAGGTTTCAATATTTCTTTTCTTGTTTATTGCGGTTAAAATCTATATTTGCTATTTTAATCAATTTAAAACCACAGATCTATAAAGATAAGTACAATGACCTGCTTCCAAATCAATAAATACCCTCAATATTCAATTCATTCCATATCTGTGGTGAATACAAAGAGGCTGACTTCCGAAAGATAATTTGCTTTGTATGTGAACTAAATATTGCGTTCCAATAAATTGTTTCCGATGTATGTACGCAGATATTCCATTGGAATCATTTTCAAATTCTAGTTCTAAAATTTTGCATGGACATAATATTGCAATTCAAGTAGTGGATATGAGTGAAGGGCCTTCTTGAAAGGTAACTCCAGTTCTAAACGATAGTGACGTATTTCATATCTCGAATACTATGTATGAGACACGTTCGTTTTACATTTTATTTTTCGTTCAGGACATTCAATTGCCCGCCTAGATTGTGCAATTTAACCCATTTAGACTATTTTTTGTGGGGCTTAGTTAAAACTCATGTCTATGCAGACATTGGAAGACAACATTGAAGCATTTATTCGTAAAGTACCGGCTGAAATGTTGGAAAGTATGCCAAAATTATAGTAAGCCGGTGGATCATTGGAAGCGTTGTCGCGGTCACCATGCGCCTGAAATAATCTTCATTCATTAAATTATATGGACACAAATTTTCAGAATTGTATGTTTTTTAAACTTTATGTAGCTCATTAAAAATTGCCCTTAATTATACTTATCTAAGATATCTTCTTTTGGATGGTTTTCTACCCCGAATAAACCAAAATCCAAAGTTCAACCATATCGATTGAACGTTGTGCCATATTAAATCATTTTTGCAAGTAGGGTGTCTACATAATTTAAACTCAAACAAAAAACATGTAGGGAACTTCAATGGAAAATATGACATAAAAAAATACTTGAAATCTTGGTTTACCCTTACATAGGCTTTATACCGAAAAGTGAACCGAAGTGACCAATTTTTTAAACCTATGACTCATGGCAAAAGTTTTTATAGATTTTTTAAAACTCTATTAAATTTTACCAAATATATAAAAGCATTAAGAAAGTATGGCCTGCCCCTTTATCTACAAACCTAGCACTACTTTCCACAGCCCAGATTGGCTTTTGGAAAATTAAATTAAGATTAAGTTTGGCTGGTTAAAAATTTTGTGGAAAATAAAAAAAATAGAACAGTGTTGCCATGTTTGTTCGGGATACCGTAGTAATTTGTTTTCGTGATGGAATTCAAGCGGAAAACCACAAGTGGCTATCGTTAGAGCACTTCTGCATATAAATGTGAATAAATCTTTTGAGTCTCGTATCTCGTATACTGGTAGCGTAGCCCGACGTCAAGGAAGTGGACGGAAGAAAACAGCAACATCAGCAGAATTGGTTCGAAAAGTATTTCGATGTCCGTCCGTCTATCTGTCCGCCTGTGAAAATCACTCTAGCTTCTGAACGAATTGAAGTAGGTTGATAAAATTTTACTCAAAAGTGTGTTTAGTCTGCAGGACTTTTGGTATTGAAAATGGGCTATATAGCCCCCATATAACTTTATCTCCCTATATTCGGTATTTTAATTATTTTGGCGACATTATTCACCGGAACTGTTTCAAATTTCGTATTTGAAGTTTCTAATGGGCCCTACAGCCTGTCAATAAAAATTGTCTTTTGCAGGTCCACAGTTTTCTATAGGTCCCCTATTATGGTAGCTCCCCATATTCGGTATTCTGATGACTTTACCTAAATTATTCACCGGTAATGTTTCTAATTTCGTATTTGAAGTTGCTAACTGGTACTACAGCCTGTCACCAAAAATTGTGTATGCTTATCCACGTCTTCGTATAGGTCCGCTATAGCGGTACGTCCACATATTCCGTATTTTGATGATTTAAGCTACTTTATTTACCGGAATTGTTTCAAATTTCGTATTTGAAGTTTCGAACTGGTACTACAACCTGTAACAGAAGATTACATACACAGGTCCATTTCTTCGTATAGCCCCCATATAACGTTACCTCCTTTTATTCGGTATTTTGTGCTATACTATTCATCGGAATTGTTTAAAGTTTTGTATTTGAATATTGTAATGGTCTATGACAAACATTGCTTGTGCATATCCACGTTTTCGTATAGACCCCAATATAACGGCAACTCCCTATATTCTGATCTTAAGATTTTAACAGAATTGTTAACCATTTTTTTAATTACCAAATTCGTACAAATTCGTGAACTTACTGCTTTTTAACTTGTTTAAAAGAAAACAATAGGCATTTATGATTTTTTAAATATTTTTTAATGAAAACATTGCTGATTATATAATATAAATATAACATTTAAAACATCGTACTGCTCCGATATCCACGGTTGGTAAAACATCACTACAAACTATTTTACACTATAAGAACATTTTTAAAACAAGCGACATATTTCTTTTAAAAAATAATTTTTTTCTTTGTTTTGTGTAAAAAATACCATCATTTCTGTTTCCTTGTATTTTAAAAACGTTGATTTGATTCTTTACTTTTTTGTTTTACAAAAAATAGGAATTGTTGTTTTGGATACTTTGTTTTTTTTTTTTTATTGGGAGGGAATGGGTGTGGATGGGGTTTGGACCAAAGAAACTTCTATGAATTTTCCAGGCTTCATTTTCTTTGTTGTTGTTGTTGTTTAATAATAATTATGCGTGTATCTTGATTTGTTTCAGTTTATTTTTTAATATATACTCGCCATTTAATCTGGTTTGTCATAGTGTAATTCTTGTATTTACATGTCATAGTAATTTGTTTGTTGTAACATTTAAACTTTTTTATTTACATAATGCTAAATAAGGAAACTTCTTTTTTGTCAATTTCTTAAAAACATAGAACATTTTGTTTTCTTATCAAATAAAACTTAAAAAATAAAAAAAACATACATACATATTTTTATATAAAACTTATTGTAATCTATAAGAAATACCACAAAGAAAATATTGAGATAAGTAAAGTTGTTTTGTCCTTATTTTTTTAAGATATAATTTACTTTTTATTAATAGGAAGTTTTTTTTCCATGAAACTAATAAAAATTTATAAATTTTTATTTCATAATTATTATAATTAGAAATAACCACAAAATGCCAGTGGTTACAGTTGAATGCATTCATAATTAATTATTTTTTACACAAAACCACACTGTGCTGCAACAACAAAATTATATTACAAAAAAATACATTTTTGCAGCAAAGGGTTCAAGATTCTGTTGAGCAGTTAAAGGTTTCTTTAAAATAAAAATCTTTAACGAATCATCCATATCCAGGATGAGTACTTATGCTCGATCACATTGCAATTTTGTAGTTGGCCTGTAGCACAGTGTTAATGTTTTTTGGGGTAAAGTAAAAAACCCATTTTTTAATATAATTAAGAAACTAATTAGGATTTCTTATTTAATAAAATTTGTATATTTGTATATGCATCCACATTAGAGTAGGGAATGTACCATTTTTCTTTTAATGGAATTCCCATTTACAATTTACAAATTAAAAAAAAAATCCAAAACTTTACAACAACATTTATTTTTTCTAATAATAGTAATAATAATAATAATTATAATTGTGTGTATGTAATGAAATGTTGTTAATACCATTGTTTGTTTTTGTTTGTTTGAAATGATGTACAAAGTTTGAAATCAAGTTTTATTTTTTCTTCATTAGTAAACATTGAGATCAGGAGTTGTGCTCACTCCATCAAATTAATAACATAAACCGAGTACAGTTTTTGTTTTGCTTTTCTTTTGGGCAAAACTATAAAAAGCGTATAACAAAATAGAAAAGGTATTCAGTTTTTTTCCAGTTTCTTCAAAATCCTTCATCAGCCATAGCAATTATTAGTTTCTTGCGTTTTTTGTTTGTATTTCTCAAAAATTAGTTTTTTGTTTGTTTTTCTTTTTATTCCTAACATGTCTAATTATTGTCTATCCTCTCTCTCCTTGTATTCTAAACGAAATAAATAAATCGAAAAGTTTTGCAAGAATTTTAGTAAAAGGTATGCCTTTTCTTTTTTAGGGGTTCAATTTCATTTTTCAATGTGAAAACTTTAACATGACCTCAAAACAATCTGTCTCGCTCTCTCTCTCGCATTTACTCTCTTTTTGTGTCACTCTCAATTTATGTACAACACTTCGATCGGCTGTATAAATCATTTTTAATGGTTGCCACCTCGGATTCCAGTCGGGCCAATTTGGACTTCAGTATGTGCTCCCTCTCTGAGGGTGTCACCGTTACCACTGCTGTGGCCGTACAGGTATCCTTTCTTTGGAACTGGGCGGCCCATTCGGGACTGGGTATTGAGATGCCCGAGTCGCGTTCATCACTTGAATTGTCGCCTGAATTATCAGCCCAGGCTGGTGGTGATGCCCGATTGCTGATTGGCTCCTGTTTGATGTGCTGCAAGGCCAACAAGGCTGTGGCAGCAGCATCCTTATCACCCAAATGAGATTTATGTCTTAGCTTTAGAGGCAAGCAGTTGTTGGAGTCGTTGCTGTGAGGACTTGTTGTGGTACTGGCGAGGTTGTGTTCATTAGTCTCTTCGGTCATTTCATTGTCGGCCTCATGGTCATCATCACCCGAAACAGCGCCCGAAGACGATGCCGATGACATGGCGGAGGACAGACGAGAGGATGTTGGTGTGGTGGACGACAGCATATGCTCATAGGCTGTGGGGCTACTGGCTCGGCGTGACAGATTCAAAACGCTGGCTGTTTCTCGGGGCGACGAAGAGCTGACCGAGTCACCAGCACTGGAGCTAACAATTGGACCCTCTACCATTGTGGCTGACAAGTAGCTGTGCTCTTCCTTGCTGAGTTTTGTGTACAAGGGGTTGTGGACATGCTGTGTGGCTCCGGCATAGATGGCTGCAGCTGCTGCTCCCTGGGGATTGACATACAGGCCACTCACAGTGGACGGTAGATCAGCGGCAGCAGCATTGCTGGCAACAGCGGCAGCTGCCACAACCTTGCGTATGTTCTCAAAATCACAGTTCCTATTCAGGGCTTGAAGGACGTGTAAATTCTGTAGATTTGGAGTGGGCGTTTGTGTGGGGACGAGACTGGTTGTGGTGGTTGCTGCGGCAGCTACCACTGAATGGTGTTGGTGGGGAGGTGTATTGGACGATAGGCTTTCGTTTATGTTGGCGGGAACATAAACAGCTGAAGCTGCTGATGCCGGCACATATAAGGCCTGGGTGGCCTGTATGCTGGGCTGATGACCGGCTGCGGCAGCTGCATTTATTGCGGAGGGCAGATGATGCAGGGGAGAAACTCCATTCACAGATGGCGCCGCCACTGCACCATTCGGCTTGATAACACCTTGGGCGGTCAATTTGTCATTGTGGGAGGAACTGAGGACATCCACTGAGGATCTTTGAGTTTGCAGGTTGTTGCCGGAGGTGCCATAGTTGGCATTGCCATTGAAATTGGTGGCGGGCGTGGAAAGCTTGGAGCGTTTTGTGGTGCTCAAAACCTGTTCACTGGTGGGCAAAGATGCCAAGATCTGTTCCACACTCACAAGGTTTTCACCGGATATATTAAATTTGTCCTTGATAGCATCCAATTGGGCTTTCAATACATGGTTCTCCTTGGTCAGTTCGACCACGCGCTGTTCCAAAACCATGTCATTGTAACGTCTCTTCTCACGGCTGCGCTTGGCCGCCTCATTGTTGCGCCGACGACGATCCCAGTAGCTGTCATCTTTTTTACAGTCGGGTGTGAATTCTCGTTGTTTGCGCTGCGAAAATAATTCCTTGGCGGCGCTGACCTGCTGTTTGGTCATGCCCGTGAAATCGGGGTTATAGTTCATGTAATTGTTGTGCTGCATGTCGGACATGCTGTGGCCCGAATCACTGGATTGGGGACTAACCGGTCCATTGTACATGGATAGGCTGTGAACTGCAATAGAGAAAGAGAGGGGCGATATTATTTATCTGATCAAGAGAAGAATGAGCAAAAGAATAACCTACCATTTGTGGCCTCATTGGAGCTGCCGTTCATCGAAAGTGTGGGCGACATGGTGGACATACGAACCATGGCAGCAGCAGTGGCCGGTGTTACCAGGCCTTGGGCTGGGTTGCTGTGATACTTTGTGGAGTTACTTGTCAAACTGTTGGCAGCTGCGGCTTGCAGTACTTCTGGCATATTTGCTGCGGCCGTTAATAGAAGATGTTGTTGGTGTTGCTGCTGCTGCTGTTGTTGTTGCTGATGTAACTGTAGCAGCTCCGTGGTGGGTGTTACAGTTAAACGATTCTTGAAATCCTGACCCTTAATCAGATGATTGGGCGCCGATGAAATCAAAGCTACAATTGAGACAAAAAAGAAAGAAATGGAAATTATTTTTATGATTTGGATCAAAATATAAAGTGTTGGTTTCAAAAAGAATACTAAGATGAATGGGTATATTACCCCACTGATTACATATATTATTAAATATGTATATAAATAATTCTGGAACTGCCCTGCCATTTACATGGTATTGTGAAACCGCAAAGGCTTCTGCTAATAACCCTCATCAGCTCTATAATTATCTGGATTGTTGGGGAGAGAGGAACCCTTCGTGCGTATAATTTATTTTAACATGTATACGCCCCAGGTGCTCGTTATGTGAAAATATGTCAATATTTGGGTGTTGGTCATTAATTTGGTGTAAAGTTGCTTAGAAAAACTGACTCATTTTGATGGATTTCATAGATTTTGTAATTAAACATAAAGAAAATCCTTTCCTCCTTCTGTGAGGAAAGTTAATGGCCTAAGAATTTGTAAAAAAAATTATAGAAATTTCTTTACTGATCGACAAACGTGTTGTGTTTGAAACAATTATGACTTCATTTTGATAAAAAAATTTTTTTTCGACTTCAGTCAATATATGCCTCCCAATATTTTTGCTCCGAAAGGAATATAAAAATAAGCCTATATTTGAATAAAATTTTTGTTTTCAAATTTTTTATTTGGTAATTTTGAAAAAAGTACCAACAGGCTTTTAACATTAATAAAAAATTAATTATGGCTGAGAAACGGAAAAAACCAAAACTTTGTGTATTCATTAAAAAACGCATTAGGCATTATCAGTACATTGACTCCTGAAATAAGAAAATTGAAAAAAAAAAACACCAACAACAAAAATGCAAATAAATTATATAAATAATCCCTGGCGAATACCATGTGAAGTGATGCAATCTGTGTAGATTTTAATTTTGTATAGAAACCATTTGAATATCAAGTCACATTTAATTGTTGGTTTTTTTTTTGTTATTCATCATTTCATTACAGACGGGTTTTCTTTATTTTCAAAATAAATGTAATTTAAATTTATTGCTGAAATACTTGAATACGCATATATTATTTAAAATTTCTAATATTAACTCTAAAGAATCATTTTTTTTCGAATAATTTAGATCTCCCATCCATGTTAAATGCTAATCAGATTGTTTTGTTTACAATTTTTTCTCACTCTCGAGTGAGAACAAGAGAGAGCGATAGTTGTGTGGTGTTTTTCAAAACAAATAGTGTATGTGTAATTTCTCTTAAAAACTCTCTCTTCGTTAGCACAGTGGAACTACCAACCAGAGTAGTAAATTTGACATGCCTTATAAAGAGAAAACTGGACTTGACTTTTTGCAACCCTGCTCAAAACCGTGTTCTAGAACATGAGTCGAAAAAAGAGATAATTTAAGAAAAAATTAAAAATCTATTTTTCTTTATATTTTACGATTTCATTTAATTGTTTTTAAACATAAATGTTTGCCAAAATAATTTATAAAGCAAATGGATAGAAAATATTTGTATAAATAGCTACTTAACAATGTTTTGTTCTTGATTTAAATAAGCAAAGAGAAATTTGTCTGGAAAGAGATATTTTTTCTTGAGCCGCGCTGCTTTTTGGTATTTTTGGTGGGTCTTACTAACAAAGTCTATTACATATTTAATTCTAAATAAATGTAGCCGTTCAACGCAGTTGAATGCAGGTTTTTTTAATTTATAACATTTTAAAAAGAATAAACATTTAATTCTTGATCAGCATAAAATTCTATGTCAATTAAGCCACGTCCATCCGTCTCATACATTTGGTATTTGGTGTTCGTAATGGATACCAGCTTCATCGTAAATGTACCTCCCTATATTCGGTATTTTTATGATGCTACCTACTTTTTTCAACAGAATCATCTCAATCTTAGAATTTTGAGCTCTTATACCCCCTATAACTGTAACACCTGATACTTGGATTTTTTTAAATTATAGCACTTAGGTGCTTTTGTGCTTGTTGTTGTTTAAATATAAATTTTATTTTAATTTTCATAAAAATCGATGGTTTAAAAAATTTGTTGACTTGATTAAAAAAAGCAAATTGTATCTTCTTCACATTTCTCTTAATTAAATTGTTCTAATAGAATTTTTCTTGTCAAATTAAAGCCTAACTTTATAATGATCAAAAATTAAAAAATTTCTATTTTTAGCATTATCTTTGCCCACTTTACTTTTAATTACAAAATCAATAAAATTATAAAATGTATTTACTTTTCTTATCACCAAGAAATGCAAAGAGCACAGGGGACAGAAAAAAAGAACATTGCAAAATGTTAATGCCAACGCCATTGTAAATAATGTAATTAATGTTTTATTGTTGTTGTTGTTTCTGTCGTTGTCTTGATTTGTATTTGTTGTCGTTGTAAACAAATAAACAATAATGTTATCACTAGCGAAAATAAAACAACAACAAAAGCAAATGCAAAGAAAGAAAAAAGAAAATTACAAAACAAAAAAACTGTGTAACCGGCTGTAAAATATTTCTTTCTTGTCCTAACTCAACAAAATAGCTTTTACAGAGTGTCTTTGTTTTGTGGCTTTTTTGCTCCACTTGAACTTTGTCAAGGCTTGTACTTGACAACAAGCTAAAGACGAGAGAAAAGCAAAATACACTTGTAAATAGTGAAAAATGAAGAAGAGCGATAATTTGTTTTTTTTTTCATAAAATGCATTATCCATTGAAGAAAAAAAATTATTATGGGAATGATGAGTAATGGCTATGCATTTTGTGGAACCGTGGTATAAGTTGTACATAGAACCTTACTTCTTGTTTAAAATAATAGTTTTAAAATTCTATGATATTTACAATAAATTAAAAAAATAATAATTTTCAAGTCAAGTACATTTTAAGCTTAAATTTTCCAGAGTTTATCAGAATTCTCTGTTTTGGGATTTTTAATTATGAATTAAGTTATATTTTTATATTTATATTTTATATTTATATATCTTTTATTTTGCCTTCAAAGCTTGATTTTTTTAAGGATTTAATTTGAACAAAAAATGTTTTTATTTTCTTTGTCCAGACGAAAACCGACTTTTCCTTAAGATATCGAAAAAAATTGTAAAACTGGTAGATTCTTGAAGGTTCTGAACGGAACAATTAAAGGGTGAGATGAAAAAACTGCAGCCAACTTCAGACTGTTGTCATTTCTAAGCCACTCGTCCGACAGCTATTAAAATTATTCCAGTGAGAGCTCACTATATTTTTTACAAGCGTACAAAAGGGGCCGGAAATGGGCCCAAATACCGCAGAGTAACATGCGGGCAGCGAGTAAGGGTTTCATTGGCCGTTTGAAGGCCACAATTCGTGCCAAAGGTGACCAATTCGAACAAATCTAAACCTATTCTAAAATTTGATGCTATTTCCGACATTTTCTTTGATTTCATTCAATAAAAAATGAAGAATTATGGCGTTTGACTTTGTGTCCTGTTTTTATCTCACCCTGTTTTTTTTTTAAAATAAGAAATGGTTACAAAACTGTTCTGGAAAATTGGTGGGTTTTTTTTGTAAAACAAACTCATCTCAAATTCCCAAGCAGTCTAAATTTTTCCCCTCACAAATGATTCCAATTTCCAGTAAATTCAAAACAAATTTCACACATTTCCATCTGCGTAATTTTCCCACAAATATTTGAAATAATTTATTTTACGTACATTTTTCCTTCAGAGATGACACCGAAATTGGTGCTCCTGATGACGACGAAGAGCTTTTAATATCCGTTAGTAATTTGCCTGAGGGCAAGGTTGTAACAGCTGATGAATAATTGTTGTTGGTGCTGTTAGTTGTTGAATTAGCTGTTGTTGTTGTTGTTGTTGCTGCTGGTGTTATTTGTGGATTGTTGTTAATGTTATTCTTTAAAATAAGTAAATTCTTGGTAGCCACAGGACCTTTAAATAAATTCACTTTTTGCTCCAAAGTGCAGACAATCGACATTTTATTGAAACTCAATTATCTGCTGAGAAAATACGTTGTTGTTGCTGTTGTTCAGGTTTTGTAATTGTTTTCAATATTTTCCACATGTGTGCATTAAATCACTTTTGTGTGTCAATGTATGGGTTGTTTGTTTTTAGGCAATTTCAAAATTTCAATTTCAAATTAATTGCGCATTGCTGATTTTGGTGTGTTTTTGTTGTTGTTATTGTTTTTTCTTTCTTTGAGACGTCCGACACTCAAGTTAGACATTCAGTCCATTCAACTGTGATTTGTTTATTCAAAAATTGATTTTATATTTTTTTTTATTTTATTTCAATTGTCACATTTTCTAAAGTTCTTTGCACTTTGTTTGAAATTTGTTTTCAGATTTGCAGACGACATCAGAGAATTGCTGCTGCAATTCTTTGTTTTTTTTTTTTTTTGCTGTTCACAATTTTGTTGGTGAGGGGATTTCTCTCTTTCTTTCTTTCGTTCTTTTCACATGAACTGTTGTTTATTTTGATGAGGATGATTCCATTTTTTTACCAAGAATTGTTTTGGCCAAGATTTGCGTTTTAGACTTTTGGGGTTTTATTACCCGACCGGCACTCAAATGCACCTCGTCGATACAACGATAATGCCTGGCGATGATGATTCCACGAAAAACAATGTTTTTTGTTGTTGGCCGTTCTAGTTCTAGATTTCTTGCGAGTCCATTTAAAAAACGTCCATATAAGGTATTTATTACGTTACACGTTACGCTCACGTTGTTTTTTTTCTTAACTGATTTTTTGTTCTTTTTTTTCTGATTATTTGTATTCTACAAAACTTATTCGGACTTGTTGTTTATATTATTCACGTATCTATCTCTCTCTCAGCGTTTAATATATTTATTTTGTGTTTTTCTAGTTTTATCCGTTGTTAGATTTTCAAGACAACCGTTAGCTTAGACAGCCAAAACGCAATTGAATAGAAAAGCTTTCTCGCCGTCAGCTCTTTCACTTTGGCCAATACTGTTCGGGTTCTTAGCGTAGCGCTGTGGTCACGTTGCAGCAACACGTATCTGTGTGCAGTGACGTTAATACGTTGTTCAGTCGGGCACATGGCAGTTGTGTGTTGGCGAGAAAGTTGTTGGCGGTTCGATGGCAACAAGTTTGAACCAATTTATTTCCATGTGCCTCCGCCACCAGAGGTTGGTGTGAGCGTGTCTGTCAGCCTGTCTGTATGTTTGTTGGTGTGTGTGTGTGTTGTTTGTTTGACTGTGCCAGTTGAGCGATGTTTCTGTAGGTCAATGAATAAAATGTTGAAAACAGAAAAAACAAGAAAAACACATTCTCCACACACCGTAACAACAACGACAACAAATACAACACTAATATAAACAGATTACAGTCAATATAAAGAAAATAAAAGGGGGGCGTTTGTGTTTGTTTTATATAGGACAGTGGTGTTTGATGATTTTGTATGAGTTCTTTGGTGTTTTAAGTTTTTATACTTTTATACACTAAGTGTTGGAGGTATTATAAGTTTGATTGGGCCAAAAATTATGCAACACATCGAAATATTGGTCCAAAACATGGGATGTTCCTATCTCAGCGATCTGAGTCGATCCAGATATGTGTGTCTGTCTGTTCATGTATATGTCGCTACAGTTCGCAATTATAGCTCGATCCTCACGAAATTTGCCATAGAGGTTGGCTTAAGGTCAGAATAGAAGCCTATTATTGGTGGAAATGTTCGCATATTTATTTAGGTTTGAAATGGACCAAAAACATAATATTATCTTGATTTTAAAGTCGCTCTAGAGGCAATTATAGACCAATCGACTCGGAATTTCGCATAGGGCTAGAGTTTAGGGCTGGGTAGAAGCCTACCAATTTATACCAATATATATCGGGTGAAATAGACCATAACTTTTAACTTTTTAAAACGCGAAATTTTCTAACAAAATAACAAAAAAAAAAAAAGAACTGTAAGTTCGGCCGAACTTTGAACACCCTCCACCATTTGGAACGAATTAAGCTATTTTCAAAAAAATAAAATCCACCCGCCACCCTCCACTTTGAACACCCTCCACCATTTGAACCAATTTAGGTATTTTCAAAAAAAAAAAAAAAAAAAAAAAATCCAAAAAAATTCGAGTCTATATGGTCCTGCGCAGACAATTTTTTGACTTAGGCTGTAGTATCCTTTACGAACTTCAAATATCAAATTTAAAACAATTCCGGTGAAAAATGTCGCTAAAATTATCAAAATACCGAATATCGGACGTGCCGTTATATGGGGGCTATACGAAGACGTGGACCTGCACAGACAATTTTCTGTCTTAGGCTGTAATATCCATTACGAATTTCAATCCCGGTGAATAATGTCGCTAAAATAATCAAAATACCGAATATCGGGACGTCTCGTTATATGGAGGCTTTACGAAGACGTGGACCTGCACATAAAATTTTCTGTCATGGGCTGTAGTATCCATTACGAACTTCAAATACCAAATTTGAAACAATTCCGGAGAATAGTGTCGCTAAAATTATCAAAATACCGAATATCGGGAGGTGCCGTTATATGCGGGGCTATAGGAAAGCATGTACCTACATGGCCCATTTTCAATACCAAAAGTCCTGCAGACATAATATACATTTGAGTAAAATTTTATCAACCTACCCCATTTCGTTCGGAAGCTAGATTGATTTCCACGGACGGACGCTAAATAGACATAGAATTTTATGTTGATCAAGAATAGATACACTTTGTGGGTTCTAACGTATGTATTTCGAGGTGTTATAAAGTTTATTTATTTTCCATACGACTCTTTGGAAAAAAATAAAATGTCCGTTTTTTTTTTTGTTTATTTCCTAAACAAATCACTTCTTTGCACACCAAAACCACGGTGCACTCACTTCGATTCTAACGATTTGTACTTTTTATTTATTATTTATTTTTATCGGTATTTTTCTAGATTTCAAAATATCTGCTGCTTTCGTTGTCGGTCGTCTTCTTTCGCTGTTGCTGTAGTTGTTTTTGAGCTGCTATCAGACCCATCATCGCGTCAAGCCAACGAAAAGGGGGGCCAGCCAGCAATCACTTCAAACCAAATGGTTGCAACCCACATTTTCGGTAAAAGTGAAATTTGTCTGGCTCAAGTTTGAAGTTATCTCAAGACGACGGCGATGATGAGACACAAACAAGCACACAACGGCACACTGACGCGCAAACACACTCACACAACGCCTCATCAACCGGTGGATATTTCAATTTCTTCTTTGTTTGAAAACAACCGTTCAACGGTTGTTTGTTCCATTGGATTGATGGTGGGGATGGTGCATGGGCAGTCGTGTCGTTTAGCGGGAGTATCGGTGGTGTGAGAGACGGTCGATAGTGGTGTGTCATTCATTGAAAAGAAAGAACAAATCGCAACGGACAACAACAACAAGAACAACAATGCCAGTTAAAGCTTGCTCACATTGCAGAGACGGCTGTTGAGTAATCACTTGTAACGTCGTATAATTCACAGCGTGTGTCTGGGTGAGCGTGTGTGTGTGTTGGTGTGGCTTAATACTAACTGTTGTTGTTATTGCCTTGCCTTGCCTCAGCTGCTCTACTAAGTTATTCTGGCTTAAAGTTGCTATGTTTTAACCTCTTCTCTGTAGCTCACGCTTCTTAACCAATGGTTAGTTATTTGGTTATTCTAAATTCTTTGTGTCTTTCTGATGGTGGTCGTCGGATGAGGGCTTCGCCGGCTGAGCTGAGTTGGTATAATGGATGTTGGTTGAATAAAAGATTGTTGGCATAATTTATCGATGATAATTTTCGAATGCTGGATACAATTATGAAGACATTGACTTTGTTTGAGTTCGTGCTAATTTTGTGAAAAGTTTAATATCCTTGACAAATGCATATGGAGAGGATAATAAAAATATACCCTCTCAGTGAGAAAAAGTGCGGTAGACCTACAAAATATCACAGGTCCCACATTCGTTTAAATTAAAAGATTTTTTTTGTTTGTAATGGTCCCAATTTATAGCATGTGGAGCTGTTATACTTTGTGGAGCTGTTGTACTGCTTATGTCCTCGATGTGAAGTTAATTTGGCCTTCTAAGGAAGTCCCTTTCTTTTCGTCTTTTATGAGAAAAATAAGACGTCACATATTTCATGACAAGACTATCTGTTTCTGTACGAAACCGCCTTTGTGTCTTGTATTAGAAGATATACAGTCTTCTCTTAAGTTATTATTTGAATATTTGCTCTCCTATTCGCAAATCGTTTGATTTTGTAAGAGATACTTTGAGTTTTTCTAAACGATGATGAAAAATACTTTCTGGCATTTTATTAATATATTTTTGTTTTCCTCAGGTACTCTATGAAAAGACCTCCTGCTCTTTTTTGTGAAGTCTTTTTCGATGTTCTTGGAAAGAAAATACACTTGGCATTCTTTCTATGAGAAGACCCTCTTGACCCTTTGGTTTCGTATGATAATTCCCTTCGGTCTTCTACGAAGACATTAGGACCTTTTTTTAATCTATGAGAAAACCTTCTAGTTTTCTTTGAAGTCTCTTGGATGTTCCTTGAGAGGACTCCTTGGTTTCTGAGAGAGGACCATTCTGTCTTATTTGAGACGATCTTTTAGACTCCTATGATAAGACCCTTTTGTTTCTATCAAAAGACTCTTCGGTCTTCTATGGAAAGACCTTTTGATCTTCCACGAGAAGATCCTTTGGTCTTTTATTAGGAGACCCTATTGGTCTTCTATGTAAAAACTCTTTGGTCTTATATGAAAAGACCTTTTCGTCTTCTGTGTGTAGACTCCTGAACTTTTATGAGGAGCATGCCTATGAAAACAATATATATGAACGTCTAGGAGAATACCCTTTGAGTTTTTACGAGAAACATCATCACGGACATCATGCCCGTTGCTGTTATATGACAAGACTGCTGGTATTATGAAATTTTATGGAATACCTTTTTGTCCATTCGGTACCTATCTCTGCTTGGTTTTATATGAGAAGACCATCTGGACTTCTTTGAGAAGACCCTTTGGTTTTCTATGAGAGACTTTGTGTTATTCTGTGAAAATACCTTTTTTGTTTATATCAGAAGACCATTTGGGCACCTATTTGAAAACCCTTTGATTTCTATTTCTCTTCATCCACCTATGGAAAGACCCTTTAGTTTTCTATGAGAAAATCCTTTGGTCTTCTATTCGAGTTTTTGGAATAGGATTTATGAGGAGCAGGCCCTTGGACTATAACAAGAATATATATGGTCGTCAAGAAGGAGACATCTTGATCTTTTACCAGAAGAACTACTGGACATCCACAAGAAGTCTCTTTGGCCTTTAATGAAAAGACTGCTGGTATTATGGACTTTTATGAGCATGCATGCGAAACTCTGTGTTATTCTGTAAAAAGACTCTTTGGTTTATATCCGAAGAAAATTAGGACAACTATTTGAGGACCCTTTGATTTCTATGGCTTTGGGCTTTTATGATAAGACCTTATTGGTCTTCTATGTGAAAACTCTTTGGTCTTTCATGAGAAGATTCCTGGTATGAGAAGACATCCACGACTTTTACGAGCACACCATTTTGTCTATGAGAAGAAGTCTTCCACGAGAAGATTTCCTGGACTTTTATAAGAATACTCTTCGGCCTTTTATTAGCTTTCCGATGATGTTATATAAAAAGACTGCTGGTATTTTGGACCTTTATGAGAAGACCCTTCTGTTCTACACTGCAGTTTAAAAGTCTCTAAAGTCTTCTTTCTTAATAGGACCATTTTCTGAGTTAATGTGAAAATCCTTTTTGTTTTATATGGAATGATACTCTTGTCATCTATGAAAATACCTCCGCTGTTTTTAACTACCTTCTGGTCTTCAAAGAGTGTATTCTTCGGTATACGGGTATTTTCGTTACCCATTGGCCTTTAAAAAAAATGTATACATCTATGAGAAGACTTTCTAGTCATTTTTGAGAAGGTCATTTGGTTCTCTAAGAGGACCTCTAGATAATCCACTGGTCTTCTATGAGAAACCACCAGTTCTTCCATTACAAAATTCGATTAGAAGACACTCTTGTCTTTTATAAGAGAATCCACTGTTTTTCTATGAGGAGAATTTTTGGGTCTTCTATGAGATGATTCTATGAGATGATTTTCATCTC